CAGAATATAAGTTTAATCATCCTACGACAAACGAACAGTTCAATAGTATACGTTAATACTATAAAGTGCTAAGTTTTATGAATGAAAACTTTTAACGCTACGCATGTAGTGACGACGAAGACTTGTGGTAAGCATACTAGTACTACTATGTAGGTATATTTTTATGCGCCCATATACATGGAAATTAATAATTATAGATATACCATATTTCAATAAATATAAGCAACATTTTGTCCATAATATTTTACAAGAAAACTTACAAAAATATTAAATTAATTAAAATCCTTTATTTTCTTATTTCATTATTAGTCTTGCTTATATTTTATAACACTTTAATATTTTTATGCAGATTTTATCTTTACACGATATTTCTAATTTCCATGACTTATCTTTCGAACAAAAAACAGTAATTAATATTCAAAATGGGTTATAAACCATAACTTATTTTTTCAACCGACTGTTTGTACTTTGTAGTCAAATCCACATTAATTTATCTATTTTATCTCCATATATAATATTATTCCACACAATTGAAAAAAATTCTTTCATAAATCACATAGCTTTAATAATTTACCAATTCTATTTTATACAATCATAAAATTTCCAATTCATTCAAATAGCCTCCGATGCGACACTTGTACTACGTTCATTACTGCCGGAGGCTCCATAATGGTGACGTCATTATAATTATGACGTCATTACGATCTAATGACATGCAGGCCCTCATTACAGGGGCCCTCTGACAATGTTACATCAGCTGAATGTTAAGACACAATTCAGACCACACTTCATACACGGTTCGAGTGTGCTGAGGAAAGAGGAAGAGGAATGATTTGAGAATTATTATTAAAAATAAATTAATTTATATGAAACTAATATTCTTCGGAGACGAAACCTCTCATCATTCAATGTATTCATATGAGTGCATCGGGTCCATCGTTGTAGGGAGAGGAGCTTCAACAGTGACTGGGACTTGCGACCCAGGTGTAGGTTTAAATTTACTACGCGTGCCCTATTTTTATCAAAAACTACATACTCCTTACGTTTCGGTTACTATTAAGGAACCGTGATCACGTCATCAAATACATTGGTGCTATTTCCTCTTAATGTTTTGTTATCAATAAACTACTTACGATATTAAAATAAAATTACACATATACTATATGCCTTATATCATTACGATAAAACATAAACTAAATTAAATGACATACATTCCCTTGATACATAAATCCACAAAAGAAGAAAATGTAATATACATATATGTATATATAATGCATATAACGACGATCTATATATATAACCGACTGCGTCTACATGAAAAGTTGTGTAATGTTTCCTCTATAGCAGCGTTATAATACTTTTTGAGTGTAAATGAGATGACGTCACCCCGGGAGTACGCACTCACTACACAATACGATACGAAATATACGCCAGAGTTCGTTAACCGCGATTCTACTTTAATATTTTTTTTATATAGAAATGCTGTTCTTACAGCTCGTTTAATCACCCGGTTCTTGTTATATTGCAGTGATATTTAACATTAATGTACAGCAAAAGTTATATGAAAAACTTAAAAATATGAATAATATTTCGTATTTACTGAAACTCATGTTTTTTTAATATCTGTAGTTGATGGCTAGGATTTTCACGAGTATACAAAAATAAGGTAATATTTTTTATATTTCAGCCCACGTTTCAATTACTTTACAGCATCTATGATCATCTTGAGACGAGATGAAGATGTTTTTCTAATATAATATCGTAATATATTCCGAAAATCAAAGTTATTTTTTAACTATAACATATTGTGTTAGTGAGTCAGTTTGTGTGCTTGTAATACCTTGCACTAGATAACAACTGATAAGGCATATCATTAATGGTTGTAAAGAAAAATGCAAGTTGATAAATATAAATAGCTACAACATTCTTATCTTATTAATTTTTTGACTGCAACTAAAAAAAATATTTTCTTATTAAAATGAATACAAGATTATTTTATTCATATTAATCTTATTATTTATAAACATAAATTAAATTTAAATTATTTGGCACTAAATTTAAAGCATAATAATGAATTATCATCTCATGTATGAGAAAAGAAATTTATAAAACTGACTTTCTATGTACCTTTAAACTACTATGAAAATCTGTCATTATAATGGCATTTCAATATATTAATTTTGACAATATACAAATAAAAACAAAAATCAGGATCAGTTTCCAAAACTCTTACAGCATGAATAAAACTAGTATTTTTCCGATTATTTACACATTTATAATTATTTTAACTACATATAGCACCTCCGCTCAAATAGTGTCATAAGTCAAAAATCCCAACTTTCGAATAAAACGCGTTTGAAGTTTAATGCTAACTTTACTTTTCGGCTCATCACTCAAAAACTGTGAAAGTTACTGCAATATGATTTTAAGTAAGTTATAAAGATTTTTGACACTCAACAAAATGGTGTAATAGACTTTTGGAATATATTTAAAAAAAAATAACGAATAACGGATGAAAAAAACGAATAATTTACGAAATATTGACATATATGGATAAATAGTTGAACTATGGGCATGACATTATTTGAGATAAGATTTCGAAGTTTTCTGATTCCAATAGTGCAATAAAATTGAATTCAACTTTTTTTGAGTTGTGACACTATTTGAGCGGAGGTGCGATATGTACTTCCAATCTCATATTCAAATATTTGTTCTTCAAAACAAGTGTGCCAATACAACATATTATTCTTAGTAAAATTCTATGATATTGTTACTTATTATATATTACAAAGCACTAAAAACTTAAAATTTCAACTTAATTATCCCAAAAATAATGAGGTAATTAACAGATAGAAGACTTAAGAACCATTATTTTGTATCTAAATGGACTATTTCCTCATACACCAGAATCATATTTCTTTTTTTTTATTTCTCTTTATTTTGACACAAACCGTCATTAATATAAAATTACAATGATCTAAAATTAAGTTACATAAAGACAAGGAGTGTCCTAACTTAAATACATTTAGAATACATATATATTTTTTAACAACATCAGTTTGAAAACAGTGGAGATAGTCGTTTAAACAGATACATATTTTAAACTATTAAATAGAGAACAAAAAACATTTCAGGCGGTAATACCAAGAATTGAATTTTTAGTTAAAAAAAAACTATAAAACATAATCATTTTAAGCATTAATTGATATATATCGGTCATCACGATGATGACATCAGGATACAAGGTTGGGGTGATGTCATGTCAATTCGTGTTTAATAAAAGGTTGAGGCTGCAAGGTCCTCTTGTTAAAGAATTAGCCGGAATGACCTTATGGTCGACGGAATGGTCATAGAATCTATTGTCAGCATTAAAAATAGTAAAATATATATATTTGTATATATAACAAAAGTATAACAAAAGATATCGTAGGTAGCAATTAATGGCTTCATCTTTATTAACAACCAATTAAATTGATTGAATGATTAGAAATTATTGCTTTTAATGATCTTTAAATCTTTATATATATTCTTAAAATAAATTCTACAATAAACATATTGTTACAATTAAGTAATGATATGCTAAGTACCTATTTTTAATTATTTAAGCAATATTCCCTTTAAAAAATGCTAATAAATATAGGAGTATAATTTACATTTAACATGTGTATTTCGTAATTTCTGTAATTATAATACAAAGTTACCTGCATAAAGTTTGTCAAAAAAATATATTTTGCAGACAATGAAGATGCATGAATATTAATTTCTGTGACATAAACAAGTTTTAGCATTATGTTTAAGTTTCACTACGGCTATTTTTTTGTGATTCCCTCGTATAAAAATCATCATCGAACTTTTATGTATCAAATATGGTTTAAGCTGCTCGTAGCCCAGTTACTCCGCAGTTAAACCAAAGTGGGCCAACCTACCGCGCCCAAGCAACGCCCGTTCACCGCGATTTACGGGCATTCCAATAAGAATAAAATAAATAACAATTACGGAAAATCATCGCGACTTCAAAACCTGTATTTTGTTCAATATATTCGCAACTTTATAATTTTACGTATTTACAATATTGAGATAAATGGAATCATAATATATAACTTACCTGTAGATCAACAAGATCCCATTAAAGGGCGATTGATAAAACCAGAGTGTACCAAGTTTTCACTGTGTCGTGTTTCAGCGCGTAAACATAAGATGTGGTTCACGTATAAAGGAGGAACTGGTACTATCACTATCACCACGAATCCACCTTTAAAACTCACAAGCACAAACACTTTACAATCCAAAGATTAGTTTATGTGTACGTTTTATAGCGACTGAATACCGCAATTATTATTTTCATTCATCGCAAAGTGAAATCATTCGAGACGAGCGGCGATTACGTTGCCCAACCGAAGAAACTACAGTTTAGAGGGGCGCGGGCAGAAGGGTATACTCGCGTCATCCGCCATATTGAAAGATTACGTCATCATTCAAACATGCCAATGAGAGACAAGTCAACCGACAAAGCTACACGCAAACCAAAGATGGCACCACTATTGAAATCTAATTGTTATTGGAAATCATTACTTCTGTACGTCACTAGAAAACTTAATGAGCTATTTTATTATGTTGAAGTAATTAACTTAATATTTATATCTGTAATTACTAATTAATATCAAACCTTTAAGCAATAATAGAAACTATTGAGTAGTTTGTTAAAATAATGTTTTAATTTAAATGGTCTCCGTTATAAATTTTAACTTCTCTGTTATCTGTGGTCTTATCTCAATAAACAAAGAGAGGGAATTAAATGTCATTTAAATTGAGTATTTTTAATCTGTATTTTATATGTAAAATTCGTCATAACTCACAACAATTAATGTAAACTGTGAGTGGAGAGAGAACTGAAGTGTATTTATTTTATAAACTTATTGAAATCTTATTTTAACGTAATTTATTTTCCTTGTCGTAAACTTAATTGTTAAACACACGTTGACTTGCTCACACCGTATACAATGCAAGGTAAGAAAGTATCATTTAATAGATTAAACAATGATATATTGTAATTTATTAAGTGTTTAACTCTCTTCAGATACGCGACCAGAGTTATACGAGGAGGTGAAGCTGTACAGAAATGCCAGGGAGAGAGAAAAGTTAGTAGAACTAATTAAATATATTGGTTTTATTGTACTAATATTTATGACAATTTCCTATATTATGTTCAATATTAATACTATTAAAAAGTACTAGCATAATAGCATCACCTGCATATCATAACACTGCAATAGTGAAGTAATTCTTTACAACAATCTTAAATGATATAAAAACACTCTAATTTGTATGCAAAATCTTCTTTTACCTGGCAATTTCCCAGCTATAGCCCGGGTCTGCCTTTATACATGTTGTGTATAGTTTTGGCTATTTGTTTTTACGATCCGCCTGCCTGACATCAACAATCTCTTGGGAATCAACATTAATCAGTGATGTCTAAATACTCTTAGAAAGTACATATGACTCGGAAAAATCACATTGGTACTTGCCCAGGCCAGGATTGAACCCGCGCCCTCGTGCATGAGAGGCGGGCCCTTTAACTACTAGGCCACCACTGACTTGAACTTTTATAAAAAATATATAATATTTATATATTTCTTATAAAAATCTTTCCAGGCATGACAACATGGCGGAGCTCTATGCTGTGGTCAGCACCCTTCAGCATCTTGAGAAGGCCTATATGCGGGACTGTGTTCGTGCTCAGGAATACACCGCTGCCTGCAGTCGGCTACTTGTACAATACAGAGTAGCCTTTAAACAAGTTACAGGAGACGAGTTCCCAAATATAGAGGCATTTGTTACAAAATTCAGGGTAAGTTCTGTTCAATTGAATCAAGAATGAGACATAATGTTCATTATGTTTATTAAAATAATATTATAAATGTGAAAGTAACTCAGTCTATCTGTTACGCTTTCACACCTAATTTTAATGAAATTCCTTACAGAGATAGAGTTGACCTTGAAAAAGAACATAGGATAGTTTTTATCCCAGACTTTTGAAAGGTTCTCTTGGAAACGCGATATAACCGAACTCATTGCAGGCGGAAAGCTAGTAATAGTATTATATCTATATATAGATATAGAATAAAATAAATGCTTCCTTTTATGATTTTTATGTAATTTAGAATACTTTCATTCTTATAAGTGTTTTTCTTATACAAACCTCTTTAATAATTATATCTATTTCTTGCACCATTGCAGCTTCATACAAATACTTACTCAACAGTCTATTCTAGTCAAAATTCATATTTTTATAATTACATATTTCAGTTAGACTGCCCGGCAGCGTTGGAGAGGATAAGAGAGAACAAACCGAATCTGATTAAAGATGACAAAGGGAACACTAATAAATATATCGCTGAAATTGTGTCCGTAAGTACTAATACTTTAATAATTGTTTTAGCACAAAAGTGCATATTGGGACTGAACAGTGATACTTAAATACATACTCTCACAATATTTTTTTAGATATTTAATGGGACATAGTACATTATTTTGTTGTATTGACTTGTAAAAAGTTATATATTTTTTCTCTCATAGACCATCCTATTAATATCCTTAAGAATTTATGTGATATTTTGCATTAATAAACTTATACAATTAGTAAACTTATTAAATCTAGTACAGTTATATCATATAAGAGTGTAAGAGTATACAACAAAATATGATGTTAAAATTATAGCTATTGTATGTACCACCATCTCGAACATCTCATCTGTCCGTGATCACGATTGTTGCAAAGTAACCGAAACGTTGTTATTAAAAATATGTGATTATAAGGGTGTAGTAAATCCGAAAAGTATTAGTTTTATTTCAATCAATACTCGCGAAAACCTTAGATCTCATTATAGCTAGTCAGTGGTGGCCTAATGATTAAAGATCCGCCTCTCGTGTGGGTTCGATCCTGGCAAGTACCGATGTGATTTTTCAGAGTCATATGTACTTTCTAAGAGTATTTAGACACCACTGACATATGAAGGAAAACATCGTGAGGAAACCTGGACTTATATCAAATTATAAGTTTGAAATCACCAACCCGTCTTAAGCAAACCTGGTGATTAAAGCTCAAACCTTCTCCATATGAGAAGAGGCCTTACAGCAGTGGGCTCTGATAGGCTGATGATGATGACGATTATAGCTATAGATATAAGGCATCTTTAATGATTTAGCCAACCTGTAACCTCTATTCTTCCTCATCAGCTGTTCATTACATTGATGGATAAGCTCCGTCTAGAATTCCGTGCCATGGACATGATCCAGCCAGAATTACGTGACCTTCGAGACACCATGGAACGACTCACAATGCTGCCTGATGATTTCGAAGGGAAACTCAAGGTAATAAACTAGATATCAATATATTATTTAAGTACTAACTTTTCGTCCGCAGCTTCGCCCGCGTGGACTTCGGTTATATCGCGTTTCCAAGAGAACCTTTCAAAAGTCTGAGATAAAAACTATCCTATGTTCTTTCTTAAGGTCAACTCTATGTCTGTACCAAATTTCATTAAAATCAGTTCAGTGGTTTAGGCGTGAAAGGGTCACAGACAGACAGAGTTACTTTCGTATTTATAATATTAGTGGGGATAATGTTGAGTTAGTTATTACTAGTAGTATTTTGATTTTTAATCTGTAGTCTTCTCTTAAATGTCAAATGTCTTCTAATTTGCAAACAAACATATTAAACATAGAAATGTTTTTAATTGATAACAAAGTGTTAAGGTTCCAAGAATAATCCAATAATATACTTCTAAGCACATACCTGTTTATTACAACTTACTGGACATTTATAATTTTAAGGAAGTTTTTTATCATTATAATTTATTATCTTATCAAATATATCTTCATGAGTAAACAATGATAATAATTTCTTATTTTCAATGTTCAGTACATTGACCAAAAAAAAAGTTACACATATATCTAGAAGTTCAATTCATGCAACAATATTAAATACAATATAGTTTACACATATAGAACATTATTTAAGGTTTATATAACACTAGAAGAGCCGGCGAACTTCGTATCGCCCTATAATCAAAAAAGCCATAAATCTCCGTGCTTTGAAGTGCGACAGAATGATTGACATATTAGTTAGTTGTCAAATTACACACAAAAAATTTCATAAAAATGGGTCCAGTCGTTTGAGAGAAGTTCAGTGACATACTCACAGAAGAATTATATATATAAACATATATTTCCCCTCCAGGTCCAAGAATGGCTTGACAAGTTGTCAGAGATGTCTGCTTCAGATGAACTATCAGAATCCCAGGTGCGGCAGCTGCTGTTTGATCTGGAGACCTCATATGGAGCATTCAACAAACTACTACACAAGGATTGATTACAATGAGACTGTTAGGTTCGGCTTATGATATTACTAGCTGCGCCCCGCGGTGTTACCCGTAAAGTTAAAGTAGCCTATGTGTCATTCCTGGACGTCAGCTTCCTGTATACACAATTTTATCAAAATCGGTTCAGCCGTTTGAGCGTGAAAAAGTAACAAACATACACACACACTCACAAACTTTCGCAATTATAATGTTAGTAGGATTAACTTTATATACTTGGATTTGACTTGACAGTAAAATGAATTAAGAAAATAATGTTTGTAATTGGTATCTTAAGTATATTAAATAATTATTATTAGCTTACCGAACTAAAAGATAGAAAATTATTTTTAATTACAATAAATATTTTAAATCAGAGTAAAAAGCGTGGGTTGCATTTGATTACATTTGTTTTCTTTCCTCTAATATATGTATGTATAGTTGCTACTAGAATTATTGTTACACTCAATATCAAGCATCCCACTCATTTTACTCTGAATTTAAATAATTTCTTTGTATCAAGATTCTTAAGTACAATTGAAATATGTATATGACAAAAATATTTCTTACTAGCTTTCCGCCCGCAGCTTCGTCCGCGTGGGGTTCGGTTATATCGCGTATCCACGAGAACCTTTCAAGAGTTTGGGATAAAAACTATGCTATGTTCCTTTTCAAGGTCAACTCTACCTCTGTAACGAATTTCATTAAAATCAGTTCAGTGGCTTAGGCGTGAAAGCGTGACAGACAGACAGACAGAGTTACTTTCACATTTATAATATTAGTAGGATTGAAATGAAAATTTTAATTAGAAAGTATGGAATATTATATTGAACTATATATACCAGTTTGCTTGACCAATTTTAATGTAACTTTTAGCTCAACATTTCTATAATATTAGAAACATAATTATGTTTTTATTTTCAGATACAAGCTCAAGTGGTCTATATGAAGTTATATTCAAGTCTATATCTCTGTACACATATTATAATATATTGTTTAATTATATTAGAATATTCATATGTTATTAGTAAGATATCTGAATAAAAAGCTGTTTTATTAATCATTAACATATTGGGCTACTGTGTTTTATTTGATACCTTTCCTATGCTTTTCTTTTCATCCTATCCTTTCATTGAAGATTGAACGCGTCTGAACAAAGCGATACACTTACTGTTATTAAGACCTTAGTAACAAAATAATATTATATACAGGGTGACTGGTGAATTACTATCGATACTTGAGGACGTGATATTTGACGATCATATATGACAAAATAAAAATTAATATAACATAAATATTAATAAACTTCTAAGTAAAGTTAACCAAAAGTTATGTAATTAATTACGCATCGTATGAACACCCTACAGATTAGGTATACACACACACACACACTCGCGCGCGGCGGCGTGTTGTTGTATCAGCACGCCGTCGCACGCGTCCACACTTGAAACGAGTCCACACTTTATTTATTTATACGGAAATTTGGTCAAAAATTAAGTACCTATGTATTTTTTTTACATAATTCGAATGAGAATCATGTACCGAGTATTCTCCTTAAATATTGATAGTAATTCACCAGTCACCCTGTATATATATACTTGCGCCGAATAAGAGATATGTTTTAACCTGTGCAATAACGTCAGTCGTCAAGTCAAAATGAAAAGGGTGAATTATCGACATAATTAAAGGACGTGCCGTACGCGTATAATCTGCAGTAATTTTTTAGTTTGAAAAGAGTGCGAGAGATGGCCTATGCTTTCGGTCTAGCACTATCTCTTTCCGCATAGATGATTGGCGCTTAGTTTTCATTACAAGCAGAGAGATAACGATAGACCGAAACTTCGTTTCCTCTCTTTCTTTCGGAGTGCCACAATTCTCATCTCTAAGGCATGTCTATTAGTATATGTCGATGGGGTGAATTAGCTACTGACATAATGTATTCACCATCTACGACTTTATGTCACCTTCTAGCACGTGGAATGTCAGTCACTGAACTATCCAAAAAAAACGATAAAAATACCTACCTGTTTAGTAGTAAAATAGCTTAATTATGAAAAAAATTGTGTAAGGCGAAATATATTATTAAGCTAAAAATGAATAGACGGGTCCCGAGACGAATTACATACATAAGTAGATATTTTGTAAAGATACTTTAAAATAAGTTCAGTCGTTCTAACAATCCAGTTTTAACTTGTTTAAGACACCAACGTAAAAATCATGTTTGTTTTTAAATAATTATCCGAAACACCGCGTTTATTTTGTCCTCAAAAATTTTATTTACAAAATCAATTGTAAACAAAACAATTAACGCTATTACGACCGTTTTTAATCACGTGGTGAAAATTTCAATATTATACCTCCATTCAAATACTGCATTAGAAAATTTTGTTTAAAAAATATTTTAAATTAGTCTACTAACAATTTGTGTAATATTTTCATTAGGTACAATATATTACTACCACTCCTTAGTTGATGAATCAAATTTAGGTAACAGGGCAGGTAAATTAAAAAAAATAGGCATTACTTCGATAATGATGTGTCTTATAAAATTTATGCTAATAAATTCGACAATTGTTTATTATAGATAATTTCATATAACAACATAAACGTCGCTGAAAAACTTGTCAGCCATTTTAAATTAATTCAAGCTGTAAATGCAGCAACTGCCTAGTTTTAGACAGCACTAAAAGTGAATTAGTGTCTAATTTATTCTGTGACACGAAAATCACGTAGCCCAAAAGCTACTTAATGACCCTATTCTTAAGTAGCATTACACAACCAGTATTAAAATACTTAAAGTGATGTATGACGCATTGTAGCCGCGTTTTACACGGTGCGTGAAATAATATTCATGGGCGGAAAATGATTTCGCTTCATTCTGAAACGTGACTTCTCCGTCTCTGGGGTGACCAAGTGTTGTTGTGGCAACACTTTATATGTTTATCATCAATTCAAGTGCATTATTTTCATCATCAAAAAGTCAACATCTTGATATATCACGACCACTTAGAACGCCATTAACCTATATTTTCAAGTGTCTTCCTACATTCCCTCTCTAAGCCGCTGATATCATGCGATATTCTATTCTAAATTTCTATTACGAAGTGAACACTAGGATTTACATTTTTACAGTTCGCATACTAGGAGGTTATTGTCATAATTTTTTTAATTAGAAAACTGTCCCTTTAAACACTATTTCCATTGTGACGAAAGCTTTCGTGACAATGCCAGAAAGAGTGGAACTTTAGACAGAAGTACTGCTTCTTAAACCTTAATTTGTAGGAACTATTCTCATGCAAAAGCACTATTTACTGAAGACCATCTCTGGTTCATTATATTCGAAGCCTTCCAATAATAACAGAATCGCTTTACTCTTCGGCCAATTTTGTAAAATATTTGAATAATGCTCTCATTTTTGATAAAGAAAACCCAGTTTTTATTTACTAATAAACAGTCTAACTAGAGTGATTCATGAAATTGGATGAGCAATTCCTACTTACTGAGATTGGAACCTTGAATAGAAATATAAATACCTAAATTCTTGAGCTTAACAGTAGGTATTGGTCTTTGAAAAAAATAAGATTTTTGATATGCAAAACTTTTTCTTCGCGAATAACAACCCTTTTTCACCCAACGCCTGGGATTGTACATAAGACCTAGGCAATTCGAGAGAAAATAATAATCAATATTTGGCCATTTTGTTGATGGCAAAATTATTGACCATATTATTTTCTTAGACAGCCACGCTAAAACAATAAAGAACGTCCTTCTAATTTCACCATTTATAGTTTAAATTCTTCTAACACGAGGCACCTGATTATCCAAAAACAAAATCTCACTTTGGTTACTCTACTACGTACGTCACTGTTTTATAACTTTACGTATAGAGATTCTGGTAGGATAGTATAAGTTGACAAACTCTTCGATAAATACTGTATTTTCTCTGATAAAACGAGCCTTGATCAATGTTCAGTGTTTGTGATGAGTTACATGAGTAAGTTAAGCAGCATACTTCTGCTGATAGTGATGTCTTTATACCTCCGTGAGGTGAGTACAAAATTATTAGATAGTTATTTTATTACAATTTATTTAGTCCTTTTAATTAAAACTCTTATTAAATAAACCTTTTTTGGTTTAATGTCCGTCCATAATAAATGCTTTCTTACGTTCATGGAATCTTTGCAATAATTTAACATATTATTTCGTAAAGCAATGCATATATACCTATTTAGTTATAATATAACGCATTCAAAGAGTGTCCAGTATGTTTAAATATCTTAGAAAATGAGGCAATAGTTATTCTACTGGCATGACAAGGTTTATATAATTTTGACCTGAAAACACATGCCAAGAAATCAATGAGCTATATATTAAATCATCTTCCTATTCCTGTCAATATGTTGTCTTTCTGATTCTAGTCAGATAATTTGAAGTGTATTTTAGGACAGATTCTGCAAACCAAATAAATGACACTCTAAGCACATTTTTATATCCAAGTTCGCAATTTTAGTGCACAAAATCAGCTTTCCAAGACATAGATAACAAATACTACCTAGTCAACGAGGCCCACAGTATAGCTAAGGATCTGTTCACACGGGGGAGCATGAACTACGACATACTCAAGAACACGTCACTGTACGTCATGGATACCTTCCTAGACCTGGTGCAAATGATGAATACCAGGATGTCCCAGGATCTGAGGAGTGCGGTCATAAAGTTTTACAGAATAAAAAACTTCCACGACTTCACCAATTATATGATAAGTTTAGAAGAGGTAAAAATCTATTAAAATCGTTCAAAATGTCATATTAATTATCTATCAATATTATCTTTGTTTTAATCACATTAATTCTGCTTAAGATGGTGGATATAATAGAACATTGTCTGATGGCGCCGGTGGAAACGATTGACGTATTGAGAGAGCAATTTCGTAGAGTAATAGGGAATTTTGAAGATGTTCGACAGTTCGACACGGTCAATAAATGTCACAACGAATTACCTGATGAGGTGGCTGTAGCTCACTGCATCCTACATCAAGCTGTTCTGTAAGTATTCTGATGAATATACAAAGTTATTATAGGCTTTTAGAGCATATTAAGTCACTATAGGATTTGAACGTCGTAAACTTTACGCGACTTAGGACATTTTAGAGTTTAGACATTGTTTTATTTATTATTCAATAAAATAATTAATATTTGAATTGCCACTAAAAATATTTAATCATTTTTATCGTTTTGTTGTCGGCAAATGAAGTTGTATGTTTGTTGTCCAATAATGTATAAAGTTTTGTTGTGTCTGCTTAAAAAATCTATATTAATTATTTTTAAATCATAAAGATGAAGTAAACTTTAAATCAAATCATTAAAACTAATATCAATCCTTGTTATATACATTGAATAAAACAATAATATATTTGTTCTTTGTATTAAATATTAATATAATTTCTCAAGCTTCAACGAAACGATGCAAGACAATTTGGTGTCCATAGTGGAAATAAAGACATATCAACACGCGAGGAAAACAAACGCATCGCTATACAACGTGCAGAACTGCCTAAATAGTTTTGTGCCAAACTTCTTTGAACAATTACTCGTCGGTACTTATACAGGTAATCCCTACTAATATTATAAATGCTAAAGTAACTCTGTCTGTCTATCTGTTACGCTTTACGTTAAACCACTGAACTGATTTTAATGAAATTTGGTATAGAAGTGGAGTTGACCTTGAGAAAGAACATAGGATACTTTTTATCCCAGACTTTTGAAAGGCTCTCTTGGAAACGCGGGCGAAGCTGCGGGCGGAAAGCTAGTTATGGATAAAGGAAAAAATTTCGCCTTAAATAAGTACTTAATTATATTTCAAAGTATTAAATTATTGAAAAATAAGGTTGTATGTGATAAAATTGATGAACTGAACTTCTCTTAAGTTGGGTTTGTCTGCCCGTGATCACGGTTACTGCACAGTAACCGGCATTTTGGGAATATGTTGTTAAAATAAAATAACGCGAAGTTATACCAAAAAAAATATAGTTTTATTTCAATGAATATCAGCGAAAGTCTTAGATCTCATTATGTTTTATCATTTTTATACCAAAAAAAATATAGTTTTATTTCAATGAATATCAGCGAAAGTCTTAGATCTCATTATGTTTTATCATTTTATGTATATACATAAAATAGTGTTCTCGTTTGCTGAAAAGTAACCGAAACGTTTGGATTATGTAGTTTTTTACAAAAATAAAAGCAGTAATCTGAAAATATTAGTTTGATTTACATAATAATAATTGTTATTACAGATAAGTGTGGATACCTCAAGATAGTGAACGCGTCTATCAAAGATCTCATCGGCGACGAGTGGGGGAAAAGTAAAGACATGCTGTTCCCGAAGAAATGGAGCCCTCTGATCACCATACTTAAACAAAAGTATGTAATATTCTTTACTTACATAAATACTTACATTTTTTATTGAACTTTACGATTTATTTTACGTAATTATATCAATATCATCACTTAAATGTATATGTCAGTTGTCACTTGTCACTTACCACACATCTTTGTTTCTCTTAACCAGAGCGTCCTTAGGAATTTTAAAATCATTTCTTTAAACAATTAAAACTGAATATACATATAAAACTTTTGTGCTCAAAATATTTATTAGACTGCAAAAATAATGCTCCACTCAAACATTCCACTGTTAAAAAAATCGTATTATTTGAATGTTTTATCTTAAGCGAAAACGAGTGACTTCAGTCGTAGTAGTAGTAGTAGAAGTAGTAGTAGTAGTTGTAGTATAATGTTGTATATTTTTGCAATAAATTTATTTTGTTTTCAGTTCCACGTCATCTGGTATCAACGCACAACAATTCCTCTTCAAGACTCTGCTCGCTGCCAACCTTACGTCACAGGACATCATAAAAACATTATATTCTTAATTATTATTAGACCTTTGTTATATTACTAAACATGTTAAAGTAGTTTTAATAAATTAAATTGTTAAATTGTTGTCTTTTTTCTTATTACTTGATGAAAACATTGACTTGAGTATTCGTGATTCAAAAATTACTTAACGGAATTCTGTCAAACGATAACAAATCTCAATTATATTATCTATAATAATTATTTAATAAATTCGTTTATATCTTAATTACCGAAAACTTAAAATTCGTTCACCAATGTTCAAAGCTGAGCTTTTAAGATATGATAACCAATTGTTATATTAAAATTTATACATTTATATATTTTAACTTTAAAGAAATATTATAATTAGAGTCACGAGTAGTTTCGAATAATCATCTTCGTGAATATGGCGTTCCAGTTAGTTTATCAGGTGAATATATTTTTTTTTTATGGGAAAAGGGGGCAACCAAGCAGACGGCCTACTTGATGGTAGGTAGATACCGTCGCCCATAGACATCCGCAACGTAGATTTGCGGATGTGTTGCCGCCCTTCATTGGGGAAAAGAGGGAGGAAAAGGTGGGAAAGGGAGGAAAAGGAAAGGGTGGGAAAAGGGAAAGGGCAACCGGTTCTCTCACTCACCGGACGAAACGCAGTCTTGTAAAGACTACTTTACGCCGATTTTCTGCGAGAGGGTGGTACTTCCCCGGTCGAGCCAGCCCATGTTAAATAGGTTAATTGAATAGGTGATATGAAGTGACTGCGGCTTACGCGCCTATATCGGAAGGAAGGAAAGTAGGTCTACGATCGAGATGTTTACGTGATAACGTCTTATTGGTGATATAAGATTTTGGGAAGTAAGGAATTAATGAAGATAACTATTTTTTCAAATTTTAAATTACATCTAAAATGACAAGTTTACTTATTCGGCTACGGACTATGATATACATTTTTCTACATTACTCCGCTCGTGAGGAATCCGCGTGACAAGTTTCACGGAATGTCTGGCAGCGCTCGAGATGAGACGGGATTTCGGTCCGTCTCTCTTTCATTATACCTGCGAATTGCGATCGCGCTCGTGAGGTTTTGGTGTGACACAAGTTTCTGAACATGTCACCCGACTAAAACGATTTTGAAGACGTTATGACGTCAATAAAGCTGACAATAGGACTGAAAGCACTAAATGAGCAGATAAACAAAATGATGAAAGGGAGTTGTGTAATATTATACGGATAAGAGATTTGGCGAATGCGTGGCCAGATTTATGAAGTCAACTATCCAAAAAAAACTCACCTAAAAATACTGAATAGACAACGTAATACTAAATGATTATGGCATTATAAAATTGGGAATCTTATTGATTTCTTAAGCAAACATATTTCCAAAAGAATTTCAGCTATAATTGGTCTTTCTGTTCTACAACTATTTTTGATATTATACTTATAAGTATCCTAAATCACTTTACATTGCTTTGTCCCAGGGAGTGATAATAATTGAGGGTTGAGGGCGCTGCGGGTAACTGGCACGCGTTGTGTAATACACGCAAGGTAGAGCTTTAACTGTAAAATATGTATAAACTTCCGTGAAATGATTTTTTTATGAACACCAGGCACCAATAAACAAGTTTATACTTCGTGTAACAATATAAAGATATGGCTGAACTTTGATATTATGGTTGTTTTAAAACAGGATATCATAAAAAATTCAAAGTTGACATGGAAAGACGAATATTTAAAACAATTTCGACTGAAGTTTTTTCAGTATGGAACAGAATGAAAACATATTTTGTTTTATAATACCTACACACAAAATATTTTTAATACAAACAAAAAATTTACCTAGCCTAGGTCCAGACTATTCAATTTCAGAACTACATACATACTTTATTGAAGTCTCATTGTCCAAAATAAGTCTTTTTCTGTTCTCTCAGATATAAGTATTTTGAGCTAATTCAGATTTAACTTTAAAAAGCTGGTATCTCCCAAAAGAGTAATATTTCTTCCGTCAAGCCTAAGTATAAATGAATTGTCACCATGAAAAAATATCTAAGCTATTCTAGTAATTGAAAATTATTTAGACATTTAAACTAATTCATTTATAGGTACTGTTTTTAATATTATTATTATTTAATCGTTTTTAATATTCTTTTTTTCTACTACTCTTATAATTAAGAATTTTTGAATCGTAACTTTATCTTTTAACGCCTTCCTTAAATCAGGTTATCTTGTTTTAATCCTTAAATTCCAGATTTTATAAAGCCGTTTCCCTGGATCTGTTTCAATTTTATATTAATATTTATTATTTCCATTAGTATATGCTTTACTAAAAAGCTTTTATATAATGAAACAATTCTTATATGTTAAATGGAATTGTTTTCATCGAATTTTTAAATTTATAAAAAAGTTTTGTATAAATATAAATTGTTTCTTTAAAAGTTTCAACCATTGCTATCTACGCCTTAGCGTAGAATGGATATAAACTGGCAATTAAAATTCAGTTTTCATCTAACTGTCAAACGTACATCAGTGCGTTCGCGCGCATTGTTCAAGTGTTGTTTTTATAGAATGTTTACAATATTAAATAACAAAAAATGCCTAACGCAGTACGAAAAATGTTGCAAAAGAATAGCTATTCATACGATGAACCAGATCGAATACCGCATAATATTTCTATAAGTTATATAGATATTTTTATGTATGTGGTTGCTATTGTTGGTCATTTTGTGGATTTGGGATTAGATATTAATGTGGCGGTACGATATTCGCTTTCTGGAAAGATGATGGAGTTCGGATGGACATTGGCATTTATTTTGATACCAGCGTTTGTCAACACATCAGTCTCCATAAGAATGTAAGTTGTGATAGTTGAGTCATCACTATTTAGCATGTCTGAGAAAATAATGAACTTCACAACCAGAAACCTCGATTTTGTTATTTCTAAAATATTGAATCTTTACAACACTTTAAATTAAGTGAAATAACAATAAATGAATATATTTTTTCTGTTATTAAAGGTATTCCCAAGACAAACAGCAAGACTCAATAACCAATGAATTCACCAAACGTAAATGGTTGAGGATATTCATTCTAGTCCTCCAAATGGCCCCCATACTACGCTTCATTGATGCTTTAATGTAAGTATTACCATAGTTTCAATAAGTGGTAGTTGTAAGCAAAATCTCTTTTTGGCCCAGAATTAAACATTGAACTGTATTTTCTTTATTATATTGTACGGTTAATCTACACCATTCTGTAATGAAATATATTTTATAAGTTAAACGACATACTTGTAACAGATCTTACAGAAAACTAGAATATTTTCTCTACCAGGGTATATGAATCAACCAATTTTAAATAATATTTTAGAGAAATATGAAACAACCTTTTAACTGGAGATATTATTGAAAATGATAATAAAGTCATTTGTATCAAAAATCTGATTATTTGTAAAAGCAATTAATTTGTTTATGTATATACCAACAATAAAAATAATTAATCTCTGCCTTCAGTTATGCAATCAAGTCACGGCAGGCCCAAAAGAGGAATGATCCATCGTCCCAACGATTGTATTACTCGTTGATGCTCAAGGAAGATTCAGATGCAGCATTATTACGTATATTTGAATGCTTCCTTGAGGCGGCACCACAACATGTGCTGCAAACTTGCCTTTTAATGCAGCAGTTACAGAGTGAACATGATACTCATCTTATATGTAAGTTTATGAACCATTTTATTGTTATTTTTAAAATTATATCTCAGTGTTGTTACAATGATTGTAAGTTAAAAATAATTATTGGAAAATAACACAACTGCAGTAATTTCCTCCATCAAATTTAGAGCCACTATGTTCCATATTATATTTGTAAGGAAAACAATTCATATTATGTTGGTTGGCTTGTAGATAAGGTATTAATAAACATGTTTAAATTTGCAAAATAATTTATATTTATGCAGTATTTTTGACATGACAGTTTTTTACATCTGATGCAAAAATAGAGTTTATATAAATTTAATCTATATTTTGAAATCTTAATCTTAACATTTGAAAGTCAAATTACGTAGGTTCTTAGCTATGTATAGTTAATATCAGTCCAGCAGTGTAAGAGTATTCACATTTTTCAAGTTGATGTATGGCATTTTTGGCCTATGATGTCTATTAAGTGGCAAGTGCTATATAATCATTATATGATGTGATGTAGGGACATTTTTAAAATTTAATACAACTTTACTATAAATGTACCATCGGTTTCTTTCAGTGCACCAGGTGCTATCTATAATTTCATCAGTTATTGGTATGGGCTGGTGTCTAGCAGCCTACCAGCGGGCTGTGAGGTTCGCGCAGAAAGATAAAGAAAATGTTACATGGGCCGGCAGCGTTGTTCAAACATTGTGGCACTTTCTAGTTACTTGTGAGTTCATTATACCTATTTATATATATATATATGTTTTAATATTGTAACTAGCTGACCCGGCAAACATTGGTTTTCCATATCAAAAGTAGGGGTTGGTGATAAAAAAGTAAATAATTTAGGATTGTATGTATTTTCTTAGGCCACATGATTAAAAAATAAAAACAAAACCTTTTGGCCAAACTTAAAAAAAAATATTTAGGGGTTACTATCACTTAGGAGTATAAAAAATAGATATTGGCTGATTCTAAGACCTACTCAATATGCTCACAAAATTTTATAACAATCGGTCAAGCTGTTTTAGAGGAGTACGGGAATTTACATTGTGACATAAGAATTTTATATATAAGATAATAAATAATTATTTGTATTTGACAGAAACTTTTAACTCCTAACATATTCTGTTTCAGTGAGCCGAGTGATCTCCATATCAATAATATCATACCTGTTCCCACATTGGACCATCCTAGCCTGCTGTGTCCACATACTGATCATGACCACATGGTTGCAGTTCTACGATAGATCTCCATTCTGCTCCAACAACAAACTCGGTGAACTATGTTTCTCTCTAGCCCTCGGAGCGGTTTACCTTTTCACATACATCCTACCGATCGAGGGTAGGACTAGATATAGGTATACAGTTTATTATACTATATGTTTTATACAGAATGTTACATGTAGTTTCATATGGTTGTTTTATACAAACAGTTTTATGAGGACTCCAATATATTTTTATACATTCCTATTATTGTGTGTCGTGCCATATATAATGGGTATAGCGTTGATGTGTTTGTATTATGGTTTCCTTCATCCTAAGACGAGGTTCAAAGATGCTATCGTCAACTTTAAGAGTGACACACAGATTGTTGAAGTCAGTTGACATAGATTTATCATATATCTGCCTATTTACCAGTATTGAGATGTGGAATCTATAAAATATTGTATCAATACTCAATTGTATTTTAACATAGAAGACTGATTACCTATTTAGAATTGTACTTACAATCAACCTACAGTTATAAGCTTAATAGTAACTAAGTGTAAACATTATATTAACTTTTCTATGGAGATTATCTGAGTCTCACTCATTTTTGTATGTAATTTTTAATGTAATGTGTATTTTATATATTTTTAATAAATCAAAACAAAATTTAACAATAATTTCATTTAATATAAAATACATATATCAGTTTATAATCCGTGTAAGACATAATTTATTCACCAAATAAATGGTGCTCTTTCCCTTAATATCTTCAGTCCATATCGACTCCATTCACTCTGATTTATCCATAATTCAATAGCTGACTCCAAACAAGACATCACTGCCGCCCCTTTCCATACAGTACTAGCGGGATCTATGTCCTTAGGTGATGTCACGATTTCTAATTGTTCTGTTTTATATGTGTAGGGAATTTGGAGTGCTAGACGGTTCTGTAGCCATATGTTTAACCCATGAACTTTAACCCCTCCACCGACAATCAATATGCTGCTATACATTTTACGTTTCAATTCCTCGCTGGTACATCGGTCTATGCTTTGTAATATTGCAGCGTCCAAGCTCAAAACCTGGCCAGGAGCTAATGCTACGATTTCTCCTGGACCCGTCTCTAAAGTATCAACAACTATATCCTCGTCAGGGTTGATACTCGGTTGAGTTTCATTAGCAGCTTCAAAATTCTGGCTTTCATTTGCTGTCGGATCAGCAGTTTCGCGTTTTCTACCAGTCTCTCTGAGAAATTCAGCGTCAAAAGGATCTTCGGCATCACTCGGCTGTCGATTTTGTATTTTCGTCATCTTAGTGCCGGTTATTTTTAATAAATCCGTATAGAATAATGAAAGTGGCGATATGATGCATTCATCTCCTACTTGTAATGTGTATTTGTTGACTGGTTCTCCAGGATGATCAACCAGAAAAGTCTTCTCCTGAGGTCCACATACATCTAAATTTACATGACAAAAATCTTGATAAAGATTGCGCATTAAGATAACATCTCTCGGTACATTTTCTGTCCAATTTTTGTATGGAAATGCACTTTTATGGAACATCCAAGATAACGCTTGACAAACATCTCCAGCTCCATAATCCATTCTTAATCTTGTAGTTTTATGTGATATACCATCTTCCACGCAAGATATTGCCGTCTTTTGATCACCTATGTCCACTACACAGGCCGACCCAATACCTGCTCCGAATGTGGCACCAACACTTTCTTGCACAAGAAAACAGTGTCCGAAACCCAGGTCTTTTAACAATAACGACGTCAGACACTTGAGATGGCTTCTTGAATAAATATCTGGTATTAATAGTACACAACGGTATTTAACAAGCTCTATAAGAGGTATACCCAATTTGAACTCAATTATGTAACTCCATATAGTGTATAAATCATTTAATACTGAGGAAATAGAGCCTCCTACTTCAGAGTGCAAGTTAAAATCACCTCTTCTGAAGGGAAAATGTATATTATAGGGTAATTTTGGATCGATGTCGAGCACTACATCACCAACTACGACATCACATTCCACTTGAGGCCATAGCTCTCCATCATTGAGGGTTTCCGGTAAAGATCGTCTGTTAAAGGCGGCGATTTGCTGGGGCGGCGTTGCATAGCGACGAGCACCATTCGATTGCATACAGGATTGAAGGGTGTGAGATATCTGCAGGCGGCATTCTTCCAATTCTTCAATGAGTTCTTTGGTTTTAGGAACACTTGGTGGTATAAATGGATCACGATATATTTTCCCTCCCGGCCGTCGTTTTCTCGCAATACAATGAAGTTGTTTGACTGGAAGCAAGTCAGAAGCTCGTCCTATTCTCACATAGAGCGAGCCAGGATGTATTACTATAATCCTGTTCGATGGAAACTGCTGAAACTGTTCAGGACCGGTATCATATGTCGGCATACTCATTTGTAATTATTATTAAGACAATAATAAATAGTTATTTATCTAATGACAAGTTTCATTAAAGTACAGGTATATTTTACTCGAAGCCTTTTACTATATGACTCTGTGTCTTATTGAGTGTTATAATACCACAAGTTATGAATCAAAATTCCATAGTAATTATAATTTACAAACGCTCATTCAAACATTTCAAATGACATAACTTCTTTCTGACTTTTAACGTTCAAAAACTTTACAGAAACACTGTTTTAGTAAAAAGTTCAAGAATATTTAAGATTTTTCTTTTTATATTACCATATCTATTTATCTTTTATTTTCCTTTGACCGAACCAAAAAGATAATTATTTTAGTTTATAACATCACTTTATCTATTTCATTACTTTATTTATTTCATCATTCGGCATTCCAGACAAGTAATGAGTGTGAACTGTGACAGTTTCAAAATGACGTTCCGTACAAGCGCTTTAAGATTCGACTACAAAATAAATAAATTATTGTAATTACTAAAACATTTAAAATATTATTAATTGTAGTTTAAGTATATTAACTATAAGAGAAAATGGTGTCGCGAACGTTGACCGAAGTGTTTGTTCTTATGCGTAATAATGCTATTCACTCTCGACAAATATTCGCTGAGCAGGTAATATCTTTATACTTGAGTTTTGATAATTTTTTAATATCATTGGATTAAGTACTCATGTACGACTGATACCTGCCTTAATTACAGAAAAGAACACGTCTGTTCTGTATTATTATTAAAATATTGTGAATAAAATATTGTTTGAATGTTGTTTCAATTTCAGTCTAACGAGTCGGAGCATGTAAGACTCATGAGATCAAGTGGTCATGACCTGGAGGCAGGTCCCGAGCCTCGTTCAGACGCTCCTCCTCCCTGGAGTGATTCATTAGAAGAGGCACACTACATTATCACTAGGTAGAATACATTGAATATTCTAGTTACTACTTTTCCCAAAGAGGGTCGATATCAGGCAGGCGGTCGGTCTTAAAAAGAATTAGCCAAAACTATTCACAACATGTCAGGCAGACCCTGGCTAAAGCTGGAAAATTGCCAGGTAGAAGAAGAAGACTCAGCAGCATTAAAATTATAAAATCCATACAATTATTATGATATAGTAACAGAAATGTGTGTGGTAATCAATTATTATTACTGAAATATTGGTTTTTGTTATAACAAAAACATTTTAAAATATAGTTGATACTCCATAATATTTGAGGTATCAAACTGATTTGTACTTTGTAGTTAAAACTTACTATTATTAAGTTAAGCTATATTCTTTGTTTGAGTAAATATTAGAATTCTTTATAAGGATTCTAGGTATTCTAGTTATTTGATAAAAAACAAATGTACATATACTAATAAGTTGATTGATTTTTCTTAAGCGCAGTTGTATTATAACATTTAATTATTTTTTAGTATATAATATAACTGGTAGTGGTAGTTTTTACAGATCCTTTCCCAAATTTTTCAACTCATTATTAAAAATGACTTTAAACAACAAAATTCCATGTATATTTAAATGAATATCTCTATGTACATTAGCAAAGGAATGTAAGAAAATGTGTGTCACTTAAAATGCTTTGGAATTAATAAATATATGCCAGTAGTACAGCCAACCATTTCTCTGCGAACCTTTGAACAATTACATGTATATTTTTACAAATTTAATGTCAACTTTGACCTTAACTGAAACTTCTCATACATTTTTAAAGTTCTTATTTAAATGAAAAGAGTGTTAAATAGTTTTGTTAACTTTTGTGATGTATAAAGATATATTTCTCTGCTAAATTCATGTAATTATTCACTAACTTCTACTCGTGACTTCGTTCGAGAAAAAAATAGAAATTTTTGCTAAGTAGAATAATATTTATGACTTGTTTTCCATATATTGCACAGTTATCAGTAATGATACGAGAGTATTCGACGCACGCAATTTAGATCTACAAATTATTTTTGCAAATTTTTTAATTATATTTTGCGCCTACTTACCATAACTTCATAGTCATTTCTATGGCATACAGACTTTTAAATAGAATCATAAATTATATATCTAAAAAAATTTTACTTTGCTTATTCAATCATTAGTTTTTGATATTACTGCGTTTACATAAACAAACATACTCCTCAACTATCATCTATTAACTATTTCAACAAATCAATAGTCAATATACAGGGTGACTGGTGAATTACTATCGATATTTGAGGACGTGATATTTGACGATCATATATGACAAAATAAAAATTAATATAACATAAATATTAATAAACTTCTAAGTAAAGTTAACCAAAAGTTGTGTAATTAATTACACATCGTATGAACACCCTACAGATTAGGTATACACACACACTCACACATACAAGTGCGACGGCGTAGTGTTGTATCAGCACGCCGCCGCACGCGTCCACACTTGGAACACTTGGAACGTGTCCACGGTTTATTTATTTATACGGAAATTTGGTCAAAAATTAAGTACCAATTTTTTTTACATAATTCGAATGAGAATCATGTACCGAGTATTCTCCTTAAATATTGATAGTAATTCACCAGTCACCCTGTATTTACCACATTTTTATACTCAAAACATCAATGTATCAATTTTTACCTCATTATATATAATATAAAATATATTCTCATAATATAAAGGAGATCAATTATATCTCTAATATCATTTCCTTCAAGGTTAAGAACTAAGCTATCCGAGCTTCAATCCCGGCATCAGCATCAGTTATCTCGGCCAGGACTGGACTCAAGCCACGAGCAGCATATAGAGCGTCTATCAACAGATATAGCTAGACACTTCACACAAGCACATGCAAGACTACAAGCAATCAGGGCTCAAGTTAGACATGGTGAGTAAAATTAAAATATTCACAAAAGAAGCAAATAATGATTATTACATGTTTTGTTGTATAAGCTTGTGTATAATAAGAGAAAATAATGATGAAAACATATCTTACAAAATCCCTACTTCCCTACTAATATTATAAATGCGAAAGTAACTCTGTCTGTCTGTCTGACTGTTACGCTTTCACGCCTAAACCACTGAACTGATTTTAATGAAATTTGGTACAGAGATAGAGTTGACCTTGAGAAAGAACATAGAATAGTTTTTATCTTAGACTTTAGAAAGGTTCTCTTGGAAACGCGATATAACCGACTCCACGCGGGTGAAGTTGCGGGTGGAATGCTAGTACAGAAAATAAATAATTTTATTATGTAACTAGCTGTGCCCGCGACTTCGTTCGCGTGGAATAGTGACTATGAGCAGCGTTTTTTTTTAAATATATACTTATTTTTATTTTGGATCATAAACACAGTCATTTTGGGTAGTTCATTTAGTTATGTATGTATAAGCATAGAATAGTGTTCGACGTGATTCTTTAATTTGACACAACTTTTTTATTTATGAACCAATGGACATGAAACAAACACTAAAGCATAACTGAAGCATACCACAATATATTCGTGAAAACCGCATCCAACTCGGATCAGCCGTTTCTGAGATTAGCGTGAACAGACAAACAGACAAAAAAAAAGTTAATTACATTTTTGGGTTCGACATCGACATAACAATAACCCCTGCTATTTTTTTATTTTTATTTTCAATGTACAGACAGCACTTTTCTACAATTTTATTATATGTATAGATATATGTCCACTACAATTGTAATTTTGTTACATTGAGATTAGTTGTGTAAATCAATACACATACATCATAATAAATGGAATTCAATAGATAAGTTATTAATATTTCCTTTATGATTCCAGGAAACAAAACCGAACAGAAGTTAGCAACTAATGTGGTGCTAGCCCTAGTAACAATATTACAAGATCTCAGTGTAACCTTCAGGACTTCTCAGTCAAACTATCTACGGTCCCTCACTTCAAGGGAGGAGAGATCAAACGCTTACTTCGACTTACCAAACTTTGAAGAGCTCAGTTTACAAGACAATGACTTGATACCGGGGCTCACAAATAACCAGACTGACCTATTATTCTCATTACCGAGCACATCAGCCCAGAATCATGATGACATGGATCACATGTTCCAGAAGCCAGCGTTGAATCAGAAACAGCTGCTATTAATGCAACAAGAAAATACCAAAGCAATATTAGAGAGAGAGGAAGAAGTCAATAAAATAGTGAAATCAATAGTGGATTTGAATGATATCTTCAAAGATTTGGCCAATGTGGTACACGAGCAAGGCACTATATTGGATAGAATAGATTATAATATAGAACAAACCCAGGTTCAAGTACACGAAGGTTACAAGCAATTACAGAAAGCTGAAAGATATCAACGTAAGAATAGGAAAATGCAGTGTATACTTTGTCTATCCACAGTCCTTATATGTCTAGTCATACTATTGATCATCGTTAAAAGCTAGCTTAAACGAAATTTAGTATAGAAATAAACGTTTTGTATATTATACCTAAGATACATATAACATTTTACACATGCACTGATACATATTTATTGAAAAAAACATTAAATTAAGCTTATTATACGTTTTTTAGGTGAAATATAATATATGGCGGCATTTTAATGAATTATGACAAGTGATAAAAACATTCGCATTGTAAAGTTGTGATTTTAATTTGAAAATTAACAAAATGGCGATTTTTATTTTGTTGAATTGAAACACACGAAAATAAAAATAAAATATATTACTACAATAAAATTAAATATCCGATCAAAGGCGACCAAGATATTGTTTTAGTTGAAAGAATAATCATGAGTCTTTTTTAAATTACATTCCGATACTTACACGTAGTTTGCGTGAGGACTAGTAAATTGTTTTTATTATTTTGTTGAAGTTCTAATAAATCAAATTATAGAAGAATAATTCTTATTAATAACACGTTTGTTTACAATATAATATGATAATGGTCTTAAGCCATTTCTTTGAAAAAAATATGTCTGAAAACTTAATTTAATGGTGAAATTTAAAAAACATGTATCCTAGATTATTTATCAGTATATGTATATTTATTTTGGTGTCGTATGATGTGATAAATTATATCTGGTAACATATTAAAATATAAAGGTTTCACTTTACTTGGCGTTGCGTGTTCGCATTTGCCCAAATATTTGTACGTTGTCTAAATAGCGCAAACACGATATCCACACTTGGCATGCCAACAACACGTCTTTTAACTCGTTTTCGCTTGTCTATGTATGTGTCTTATTTGTGCAAATACGTCAAATGAAGACGAATAAATCCTCCACACATGGTCTTATTTGGCCGAACACAACAAATAAACGCCAAGTGAAGTGCCTCCTTTACATGTATACATAAGCTTGATATTTTCATATACATAAATGAAATTGTACAAAAAGTATATATGTAATTTAAAGCGTGAATCCTTTATATATCAGAAAGTATTACGGAGAATACTTAAATATAATACCTATTAAATTTATTAACTTATTCATTATTTTTAAAGTAAAAATAAAGGTGTGGCTACACAGATGTGTTCAGCCTTAATGTATCATGTGCCTAATGTTATTTATGAAGATATTGCATCCTGTTAATATTAAATAAAGTTACAATAAGTCAAGTTTTTCATTTTTTTCCCGTATCTTTCTGAGATTGGATATTCCATATTCCAACAGGAAGAATGGTAGTCAAGTACTATCCAGTCTTATTGGAAAGAAATGAGACAAAACCTCTAAAAGTTGATCATAAATTTAATTTGACTTTAGGAATGCTGTTTAGTAAACAACTTTATATGGAAATATTCACACACCGAGCAAAACAACTTATTAAGCCTCTGATATATGTTAATTTAGATCAAATATATTTACTTACATTTAATTTATTAATATTAGCAAAAACCAGGCCAGGATAAAAGTATTCTTTTATTTAAGCACTTTATAATTACACAGAAGACAAGAAAATTTTATTTAATTATAAAGTTTAATTTAAGTAGCTTTTATATGATGATGATTCATTAATTTTATTGCAAATAATTTAAATGTTATTAAGTTAATTTGCTTTGCAAGTAAATGAGACGAAACCTTAGCATTCAATGGATTCACTGTACTGGTGCCGGGTCCATCAAATTAAAATAAAACAAATGTGTAATTGAACTAAATAATTGTATTAGTCAGCGATCTCAATATACATATTCATTCTCTTCACAATTTGTGGTGGAAAGCAACAGGATAAAAAAATATATTTACACGGAACTAAAAAAAGAAAATAACAAAATCAGTAGACAACTTCTATATTCTGGAGACAATGTTTCTGTTGAAAATAATTGAAGTTTTAATAATATTTTTTGCACTATTACACAAACAGTTGAGACGGTAAACAAAATTGGACAAAAAAACAAAATAAATAACTAAAATTGAAAATACATAGACTGTCTACTTTCACCGGTCAATCACTCGAGCATTCACAAAATAATAACACATAAAAACATGACTAACAATCAGACTATGAATCTTTGTGTTTATTATAAAATTCTTCTAAATATTTCTTATAGGCAGGCTGGTTTGGCCACAGGTACGAGGCCTGCTGGTTCAGAGGGCTCTGCGTGTTGGGTTCGGCCAGCAAGCTCTGGATAGACAGCAGTACAGTGCGCACGTCGTACAAAGCCGTCCACTTGTCTTTTAATATATCTAGACATATTAAACCACACGTATCCACGTTCGGATGGAAACAGGGCGTCAGGAATTTAACTACAGGCGGGGCATAGGGATATGAATTGGGGAATTCGAGGGACAGTTTGTATTTGTGACCGGAATAAACCGTATCCTGGGGACCGTTAATTGTTCCTATCCATTTGAAAAGGTTCTCGCTCTCTGGGAAAGCGGATATTCCCTTGTCAGCGCATCGCATCAGCTCCATTAATTCCTTCTGCAATCTAGAGAAAAAAACCATTAGTTATTTTCAAGTATGTGTGCAAAAATCATCTGTACATAATTAATTCTTACCGTTTGCTAACTGCATGATTGTCTTTCAATTTTATCGTGTCCTCGCTCTGTTTGGCGGGATTAGATGACGATGCGTAGTGAGGGTTGATATTTTGAGCCATAATATTACAAGAAATCGAAATAAGTTCTCGCCCGTTGTCTGTTATATGAAGACGACTTCCTGTTAATTTTAAAAAGCTCAAATTTTATTGGATATTACATTGGTTTGACAGCAAAGCAATAATGGCGTTCAATCAACGTAATACGATAGAGTAAAAATGTTGATTTTTCTTATTATTTCACTGAATCTATAGACAAAATCTGAAAATATAATAAAATAAATGTTTTAAAAAAATTACGCCATATAAAAGTAGTTTTATTCAATGAATATGAGCAATAAATTTATATTCATGACGAAATAAAACTTATTGTTTTAGAAAATAAATATATTTTTTAAACACGTGTTTTTTTATAATTCAAAAAAATGTTTTTGATATTTATATTAGATAATGTGGTTAAAAAGTAAAATTGTTATTTTAGACCTTTCGTATCTTGTAAAATGTATACAAGGTTTTCGGGGCAACATAGTGCTGGTTACGTATTTATTATATTTTTTTATTATAAAATTACCATATTAGACAAAACTAAACCGAAAAAGTGTTTGTATGTTGCTTGGCCTTACAAAATTAAAAAAGGCAAGGAAATAAAAACATACAAAATGCCATCTTAAACAATATATACTTCGCTTTTGTATTTGTCATTTTTCTTATTTGAGTTTGTTTAAAAAAATAAACAATTAATAATCATGTTTATCGTCTAGTCACTAAAGAAGTTTAAAAAAATGTGACCGTAATAGCAAACTTTCACTTTCTATTAGTCTTCGTTTTTTAATTATTTAACGAAGCATGAAATTATGGTGAAGGTGTAGATAAATCATGAAACAAATAAGAAATTCAGTTTCTATAAAAGATAGGTTTATGCGGTTTTCAACCTCAGTATCATTTATATTTTCGGTTAACTGTGACATTAAGAGAGTTTCAAAGAATGTTTTATCTTGTAAGTATTAATTGTTAATTTTATTCATTAATTATGCTCAAAATATATTTTTGAGATGTCTTTTGTTTAATAGAGGCTAGAATATTTAACATTTTTCCTGTGTTTGGGAATGATAAAGTTAGATAATATAGTAATATTTTTTCATTGTGGCAGCACAGTTAAAATTCCGTGAAATGACGGTGACAATTGACTATGTTGAATGTTGTAATACAATTCATAAGGAAACATTGTATGGTGTTCTAATTCTTCCACTTAAAATTATTTTTGACCATATCTAATAATTACATGCACATAGTATAATTATTGGAATTGCTCTGTGTAATTGTTTTAAGTGTACAAAGTAAGAAAAATGGCCAACTTAATATATTTCGAGAACAGTGTTGTATCAACATGTGTGTTTAAAAACATTGACGACTTAAAGCAGAATATTTCATCACAATATGGTGTACCTTCAGAAGATTTATACGTTATTGTGAACGGAAAAATAGCGACCAGTATTTCTAATTTGGAAAACAACAACAATGTTATTAGAGTGTATACAAAAATTGTTGGAGGGAAAGGTGGTTTTGGGTCCATGTTACGTGCGATCGGAGCTCAAATCGAGAAAACAACTAACCGTGAAGCATGCCGAGATCTCTCCGGGAGACGTTTGCGTGATATAAACGAAGAAAAACGCCTCAGGAAGTGGTTGGAAGGACAGGAAGAGCGCGATCGTGAAGCCGCTGAAAGGAAACAAAAGAAAATCGAAAGATTGATCGCGGAACCTAAAATTGAGGTTAACTTGAGCCCCGTATATGAAAAAGAACGACAGGAGCTGCCAGAACGAGTGAGTGCAGCGGTGGATGCGGGCTGGCAAGCCGCGGGATCGTCTAACGAAGGTAAACGAAAAGCTGAAGATGTACCGGCTAAAGGTAAGAAGAAGCCAAAATTATGGATAGATGCTGATTTGTCAGACTGTTCGTCCTTGAGTGAGGACGAGGAAGAAGAAGTGAAGTCGACGGCTGCTCAAACAGTGTCTACGGACAGCGGAAATGAGTCTGACCGTGCATCAATTAGTAGTAAAGCTTAATACAGAAATGTGACGACTTGTGTTCAATAAGAATATAATATAAAATAATTGGATAACCAACATTCACATAGCTTAAATGTGTAGAACTGTACTATGTATAATATTTTAACTTTATTATGTTCTTTAATTGTCATTTATTTGAATTTGTCAAATCTTAGTGTATATATAAATCTGAAGATAGATGTTCAATATATTTGACTAAAAATTGGATATTATTAAATTTAATAGTTCAACATATAAGTACCATAAATACAAAATTTTTCTATGTCTAAGGAGGTTCAAACAAAATAGTTTTAATTTTAATAATACAACTATATTAACTGTATGAGTAATAAACATTCGGCTTAAAACTAGATAAATATGTATTTAACTTAATATTTTTCATAATTAGATAAGGAAGTATTATTTAACTAAAATAAAAGCAAAACAAATGTAAGTAGTTAAATATTTTTTTTAAATATTAATATTCCAGCAAGATATACTTATTTTATTATGTTACATATGATATTAATAATACTTATAAGTAAAATTGTACAAATTTTTTTCTTCATGCATATGTATGTATAATATCAAAATTGTACACACTTATTATTTAATAGTTTGAGCATCATTTTGTCTATTCAATGTTGTTTATTTCAAACTGTTTTCAATTTTCTTTTATTACAAAGCTTGTCTGTCAGTTATTTTGTCTGTCAACTGTATTGATAGTCTGAACTGTAGTAAATGGTAATTCTTAACTGAAACAATAAACTCTATCATATTAGGTTTATTAGGAATATTATATGTTAACATAACGGAATGCTTCCTAAATAAATTCGTTATTTAATTGATTATTCTTAATAAATTTACCGTTATATATAAAACAATGTTTGTATAATTGTAAGGTAGTTTTATATTTTGTATAAATAAATTGTGATGATACAATTGTCTGCTTTTTTTGTTTTTTCTGTCATGGCTGAAACAATTTTGGGTGAAGAGGTATAATAAAAGTTTTTTTTTGATGACCGAATCCTATAGAAACACAACAAAACTTAGTATTATTTTTGTTACAGAAATTATGGAGTTTATTTTATGTGTTCATGCTGCTAGCGCTCGTTAGCTGCCGACCCCAGGACTTTGAATATGATGAAGGAAGACATGATAATCACGAAAAAGGTATTGGAATGAAACATTTATAGTAACATTACTTCTTCCTCTTTCTTTTTTAGTTAGTTGTATTTCCTTATATATTTCTCCACAGCTTGTGTGTAAAATCCCCACTAATATTATAAATGCGAAAGTAACTCTGTCTGTATGTGTGTCTGTCTGTCTGTTACGCTTTCACGCCTAAACCACTGAACTGATTTTAATGAAATTTGGTACAGAGATAGAGTTGACCTTGAGAAAGATCATAGAATAGTTTTTCCTAGACTTTTGAAAGGTTCTCTTGGAAAAGACATATAACCGAACCCCACTCGGGTGAAGCTGCGGGCGGAAAGCTCAATTAAACTCAACTCAGTATTTCTTTTGTATTCATTACTGAATTCATCTATTTGTTAATTTTTTACACATAGAAATGTTTTTTCTAGATGCTTCTGATATTTAATTAAATTTTTATATACTATTGTGATATAAGGATTAATTATAAAATTGACAATTGCCCAAAAATTATATGTTAATTCTTCTTTGACAGATGAGGTAGGCAGAGTACAGATTAAAGTGTACCGTGGTCCGACTAAGCATGATGGTTATGCACCATGGGGTTTTTGGGTGAAACAGCCATCGGATGAAGAATGATTACAGTTTATTATATGTTGTGTGCATTTTTATATACATTTTTTTATCAAGACCAAAGACTAAACCTTATTCCATTTCAATAATTTCATGTTTGAGATGTATTAATTTTAATAAATATTTTTATTTCTATCTTTCTTTTCATTTTAATCAGAGCCTCCATGTGAAGTAATATTTATGTAATATATTTTATTTTGAAGTTGAGATTTTTTTCTAGTCTTCAAATATTTTAAGTATACACTATGGTTATAGATTAAGATAATGAATTATTATCTTATTTCCATCATATTCAATTTAATTAACAACAGTACAATAATATACAAATCTTTTTCTTTGATATGTGTACAAATTTTGTTTTGTAGAAAAAATGTCTTATTCTTTTTGAAGTTTTTATTAATTCTATCATTGTAACAGACATCTGTTATGTCTGGAAGGTAAAATTTAAGTGTCATTTATCAATAATAATAATCTTTTGACATTGGTCTAAACTGAGGGACAAAATCGTTAGATTTTATAGATGAAGATGTCTTCCCTTAAATTAAAACTGTAATTTGTTAAACTAAGTTAAACTTCGAAAAAACTAGTAAGAAAACCAGAACGCTTTTGTTAGTGTTACCATATTCAACTACAAATAGATACAAACTCAAGCATAAAATTGTATAGATATAAAAGGTCCTCATTTGAAGTCGTTTCTCAATAATGAAGATGGGAAGCCATAAATTAGTTGCGGTCAAAATATTACCGCTATGCTTCACAAATCTTAAACGTGTTATATTTTGATATTTTTTAAGAAACCTTATTCTAAACATTAAGGTGACATATTTTTATATTAATTCTGGAATTTTTTTAATTATTTTATTAGGTATTACATCGAAAGTAGTTTCTTATCAAACTTATTGATCGTTTCAATGTTCGGGAATTCCAAATGTTTCAAAGGGTCGTGTTCTTGATAAATTTCAAAGATCTTTGAACTTTGATGTAATAAGTGATTTTGAATTATTCTTCGTAATAAAAAACCCGTCTGGGCAGATTGTAATATATAAAGAAAAAACATACTATAGAAATTCTTTTTTAATACATAAAGATAACTTTTATCTATTTATCAAGTACTTACTTTATAATAAAGAAAAAAATTACATTAATGTATTTAAACACAAGAACAGAGTAAAAGTAATCCTAATTATGAAACGCTTTAAAATATTTTCAAATATTTAATGAATTAAAGATTCAATTAATACAAATTCATATGTCTAAGGATCATTACTCACGTGTTATAGCTGTATTTTTAAGGTAGGTAGAGTATTTTTTAAGCTGTGTTTTTAAGGTATTTCGAAGAAATTCCTAATGATTTTAAAAATGAAATTATATACCTATATAAGAACAAGTTACAAACAGGTATTCATGCTCCATATTTTCCACAGAAAAGAATAGTATATGAAGGGCGGTACACGATGAAGAAAAGGAAAGATGAGACTGAATCAGTAGTAGATGTTTTCTTGCCTTTAGATAAGTTTCCGGGAGTGAAGGCTGTTGCGCGGGTGCCTGTCTCCGATACTGTTATCATGGCTCTGTGTTCAATAGAGGATATAAACACTTCTTCTTCCGTTATACCAGAAAAATCTGCTTGACTTGGCAAGAATATATCCCTCGCTTCCATAGTCGTTAAGGGACCATTTAATAATAGTGTGGAAGTTACTGAGAATTTGGGCAATTTCACGTCTACTTCTTTCAGTGGTTCACTATGCAATTTGCTGAGTAGATCAGTAAATGAAATTTTATCGAAATTTATTAAGACGTCCTTAATAGATACGCCTTCATGCGGTGTAAGTACTACCATATTAAATTCTTCATTCTGCCCGTAATTTAGTTCCAAGACAGAAGCTCCTAGAATTTCAATATCAACTTGCTTAACATTAGCTTTTTGTTGCATTATATATATGCCTGTGCCGTTTTCGAGCATAGTATCAGATTTGTTGAAGGGTATAGTCCAGTTACCTTCAAATTCGACCATACCGCTCACTATCATGGTTGATTCTTCGAAATCGGTCCTATCGAAAATCAATAATTCTGGAGAAAATGTATTATTGGTTTGTTTTTGATAATAATGGTTCGCTTCTGCAGCCGCGGTAACATCGTCCTCGAAATCCACCATCTTCAACGATATTCCGGACTCAATTACACTTCTTTGGAATGATTGTGTCAATTCTAGATTTTCATCAAAGAGTACAAGTTGTGCATTTTTGAATGACACACCAGGAAACAGGGAGACGTTCGTCATAACATCTGTTGTGAATTTGAAAATTGAATTAAAATACTGTCCGTTCCGTTTTGATATACCTATGATGGAATGAAGCTGTCTCCAAGTGTCTGATGATGATTTGAACGCGACCACGGATATTAGGTTCCATAAACTGAATGGTGCCATAACCAGATCACCTTCGTTTTCTAATTGCGTGAAGTAAAACATCTCTACACTCATATTTCTAACTCTTTCCCCAAAATACCTTAAATCACTGAATTCCACTCCGTCGCTGATTTTGCAAAGAAACAGGAACAGTAACACTTTTTTAAACATGTTCTTAATAAAACGTAAAAAGTTTTTTTATGGTATATTGTAATTAAAAACTTTAATAGGTTAAAGTAGTTTGAAACGCGCTCTTGTTAATTTACAAGTTATTTTGTTATTAAATTAATATACATATAAGGTTATCTTTATCTTGTACAGAGGACAAATACATGAGATTTACACGAATAACAAAAATAGACACTTTTTAATTCTACCATTTAATGAAAAGCCGTTTGTTCTCACAAAGGGACTACTGGTGCATTTATTTGAAGTCTATTTTTCAGTTAATAATTATTATTATTCAGGATAATAGAATATGACTTATGAACAGTTATTTCGTGTACACAATGTAAATGTATATGTACACTATTTCAATGTTTTGTATATTCATATTAAGTTACTGTTGTCGATACACTATGAGTTGACCAAAAATTAAGGGCTGACTATCAAATTTTAATGCATTTAGAAAATAAATTATTATTTGTATATAAATTTATTTCCTTCAAAAATTTTTCATCTTAAATCCTAATATTAATTAGGTGTCACTTAGAGGTTCTTAAAAAGTAATTATAGTTTATAAAGTAAACAAAATATATATTTTCTCAAGATATATTTGAAATAAATTATAATTGGAGTTGTAAAGTACCAGGACTGTTTTTTTTTATGTTTAACGAAAATGAACTTTACAGATTTTTGTATAAATATTTTTCTTTCTCATCATTGTTTACCTTACTTTAATATATTTATTAACAATCACATTGTTCTTTTGATTGTCATATCCTAGAACACTGAGACTTTACAAGGCAGACGTAATTTACCGTCCAAGTTTTGTAATTCCCAGTTTCATTACGTGCGCATATTTAAGACATCAAGACGAAACTGACCCAGACTGCAAGCCTATGATTTTCCACACAACTGTTCAGTTAAAACAACAGTTTATTGAGTTTTCTTTAAAAAGTTATCAGTAGTGGAAGGCGGCTTATGTTAGAAAAGAGTGTATAGTGGAAAAAGATTTCTTTTTTTGCAAAAGATGATAGGAATTTGTAATTCGTCACCTTTTTTTTGTAATGTATACTGCAGTTGGCTTTTACAGCGTCATAAGGAGAGCGGTTTAGTATTGAGATAGGCCCGTTATTAGGGCTCTTCGTCGCCTTTTTAAGTAACGCCACAAAAGAAGTGCGAACATGTGTGTACGTGTCTGTGACATTGTAGCTCTCAAACAGATAAACCGACTTTGTGGCAGTTTTTTCTTTTGTTAACCAGTTTTTTACCTTCCTGCAAACTGAGACGTCGCATTGAATATAACTCCTCCATAATATTCAACTAAAGCTGACGGAAGTGAACTATTGAGATTTACTGGTTACGCTCGTACTATCGGCCTGAGAGCCAAAAATATAAGAAATTTATTTCAATTTTTATTTCAATCGATATCTTTCTGTCCATATCTCCCACAGAAGACAATACTCATATATTTTCGATGCACTATAAAAAATAGAAATGGCTGGCCCATTTCATTTGAAGTTTCTCTTGTCTTGTGAGCAAAATTGCCGGGTGTGTGCGCCATTACCATGGTCCCCCCTTCCGCGACCATCACTGTAGTTCTGTGCTCCAACGCTGAAATGTAAATATCTTCGGTCGATATTCCCGAAAAGTCTGCGAGATTCATCAGGAACCCATTCTTAGCACCCATAGACTTTAAGGGTCCGTCTAATATTAAGGTCGAAGTTATTGAAAACATTGGTAATGTAACTTCAATCTCTTGTAGTCCTTCACTGTATAATCGACGAATGACTTCTATAAAGTCTATTTTAGCGAAGTTCTCCAGTACATCAGTGACGGTCAAGTCTCCTTCTGGTCTTATTATAATCATACTATATTCTTTGTCTTCTCCGTACGGTAGTTCCATCACCGAGGCTCCTAGCTGTTCTATATCAGCGTATCTCACGTAAGCCCATTGATGCATCATGTATACTTTTCCATTACCTTTGTACCCGTCTTCTAAAACAGTATTGCTGTCGTCGAAAGGTACGGACCAGGCTCCACTGAATTCCACAACACCGCTCACAATCATTGATGTCTCCTCAAAGTCAGTTTTGTCGAAGACGACATCCTCTGCTGATGATTTTACATTCATTCGAATAAAGTTATTAGCTGATTCTGCTGCCAAGATATTATCATCAAAATTGAGTCTTATCATACTTACACCAGCGTTTAAGACATTACGAACGAAAAACTTCTTTATATACGGCCCTATGTCTGTATCAAAGAATATGACTTGTATGTTCTTTAAAATTCTTCCCGGTTTTAGTTTAACATGAAAATCATTTATAAACATGAATAGAGAGTTAAATTGTTTTCCATTTTCTTTTGGTATTCCGAAAATTGTATGCATCTGTTTCCAAGTTTCACCTCCCGATTTAAACGCGACTAGAGATATCAATTGAAATATTGTAAAGGGCGCCATGGCGACGGAACTATTATTTTCTTTCTCACTATAATAAAACAGTTCAAGGCTTAAATTTCTTATTTTCTCACTGAACTGTAACGCAACCGTCTCTTCGACTGCATTACAACAATTAAATAATATAAAAGATATTAACACGAATTTCAACATTTTATGTATAATTTAAATATTAGTTTAAAATTAATTTATATTTTTCTTTTACGTGTCTGTTTAAGTAATGCATCAATAAGATTATCTAAAGGTCAAGGGGCACATTTATCTCAACTTCTAACCACAGATGAAACAGTTTGCGACATTAACATACAATTATTAAAAAATTAAACATTACAGAAATTAATTTAAATGTTCAAATTTATAATATCTTTATAGCTAGCTATGCTTTGTATAACTATAGATAAGTTTTAGTTTTGAGAATATAATTTGCACAGATAAAAAATTTATATATACTAAAATATTTTTGGATATTTATAATATCTGTGTATGTTCAGAAAAACATATTTTAATTGCGCTTTAAAAATAATCGTAATGAGCATATTACAGAAGTGGATTTTTTATTAATTTTATTTTTATTTAAATGATTGTAATTAAAAATTAATATAATAAATTATTATACGAATATGGAAGAGTATAAACATATATAAGTGATGTTTTCCTTGTGGATGTCTTAAAAATAAATCCCTACTAATATTATAAATGCGAAAGTAACTCTGTTTGTCTGTTACGCTTTCACGCCTAAACCACTGAACCTATTTTAATGAAATTTGGTACAGAGAAAGAACATAGCATAGTTTTTATCCCAGACTTTTGAAAGGTTCTCTTGGAAACGCGATATAACCGAACTCCACGCGGGCGAAGCCGCGGGCGTAAAGCTAGTAAACTATAAATGTAAATTATACTCATAATTGTATACGGATTGTAGTTTGTTGAGTGTGAACATTCATACAAAGAATTTTCTGAAAGAGAGAGTAGGAAATAAAATAAAGAATTTTCTTTATACATATATAGTTTAAAACTGAATTTTTGTTGTAGTCTTTCCGCAGTTCGTACTGCTTATTTTATTTAATATTGCTTTTATTTCATTAATCAATATAATACATTTTTTAGATAAAATTTAAATTTATAAAATTAAAAGAAATAAGACTTCTAATTACAATCAGTTTGATATCTACTATGTACACTTTGTATGCATATACTTTCGTCATTCATAACTAAATAATATATGGTTTTTAAATTCTTAATGAATATACATAACTCATAAGGATTTCTTTAGCACATATATATATTTTTTAAATTAATATCTATAAAATTTACTTTATTCTATGACAGACTGCTGACTAGAAAAGCATATAAATTAAATGTACAGTGCAAATGAAGCATTAGCATAAATTAGTGGGACCATGCACACAAAAGAAATGTAACATTTAATATTAAAAGATATCATAATTAAATTATGTTTAAATATATTTGAGAACATTTACTTTTATAAGTCGTCAAGAGAGTGATTATAAAAATATAATTAAGTTTGAAAGCCTCGTTGATTTAAACACCAAGTATTTTCATGTGCCGTATTTCCCACAGAAAATGATGCTCATTGAAGGTCCGTGGATTAAAAAGAATAGAAATGGTTCAGCAGTGCCAAGTCCATAGGTATCAGTGTTTGTTGTCAGGTTACCTGGTATTGAAGCGGTTGCGAAGGTACCTGCTTCAGCAACCATGATCTCAGTGTTATGTTCTAACTCAGATATGTACATACTTTTGCCGTATTTAAAAATTTTTGCTCGATCCTTTGAAAATATACTGCTCATATCCATAGAGTTTAAAGGTCCATTGAGTAATAAGGAAGATTTTAGTGAGAATTTTGGTAATTTAACTTCAATCTCTTGTAGTCCTTCACTGTATAATCGATGAATGACTTCTATAAAGTCTATTTTAGCGAAGTTCTCCAGTACATCAGTGACGGTCAAGTCTCCTTCTGGTCTTATTATAATCATACTATATTCTTTGTCTTCTCCGTACGGTAGTTCCATCACCGAGGCTCCTAGCTGTTCTATATCAGCGTATCTCACGTAAGCCCATTGATGCATCATGTATACTTTTCCATTACCTTTGTACCCGTCTTCTAAAACAGTATTGCTGTCATCGAAAGGCACGGACCAGGCTCCATTAAATTCTACAACACCACTCACAATCATCGATGTTTCCTCAAAGTCAGTTTCGTCGAAAATAATTTTCTTTGGTATAAACGTATAGTTTGTCAGTTGTATATAATCGTTTGCCAATCTTGCGGCCATAACATTATCAGTAAAATTTATTCTTTTCATAAGGGCCCCGGAACTTCTTATATTTCTCTGAAAATGCCTTGATAATTTCAGATTTGTATCATGAAACACTACCTGTCGAGTTCTTAGCATTCTCCCCGGACTTAATTGAAGTAGTAAGTTAGTTACGTAGTTGAAGAGTTTATTAAAATAAACACCTTCTCTTTTCCGGATCCCAATAATCGAATGTATGTCTCTCCAGGTGTCTCCTGAGGTCTCGAACGCGAAGAGAGAAAATAACTTCCAAACAGTGAAAGGTGACATTGCAATTTGACCTTCATTCTGTATCTCCGTGAAATATAGTAAATCTAAACTTAAATTTCTCACTTTTTCACCAAAATCTCGTAAATCAGTAACATCCACCCCATCACAATGGTAAGATGATAATAAAAACACTATGAAAACAATTTTTAACAACATTATATGATCTTACTTATGAACTCTCAATACTTCATTGAACTAATTCATCATTATACCGCGACTTATAATTTTGGTTTAATCATTGTTCGTACGTCACACGTATTTTCCATTTTGTCATAATTGAATGATAGTCCAGATTTAACTACAGCGTTAGCCTCATTAAAATATTTAATTTAAAATTATTCTGGGACACTGTATATTAGGAGTTAAGGTCTCAATCATGTTAAAATACAAATTAACGTTGAAAATTAATAATTTCAAGTTGTAGTAACTCTCAAAATATGTATGTTTGAAGGTATTGCGACGTAATAAAAGATTGTGATAGACACAATTTAGATGATAAAACATTAAAAACATGTTTCTTTTATAATCCATTTAAAAATATGAATATATGTACTATAAAAATATACTATACAAATTAAGATTTGAGTTAAAAGAGATGAATAAAATCTCTTTGAAAATATTACCACCATTTAAGTATTAAATATATTTTCAATAAGAAGATTTAATTAAAATAAAATTAAAAATTCATTTGCTACTTGTAGAACATCATTTTTATAAAGTTGTGAGTGAGTGAATTAAGGAAAAGGCGATATTGCAATTCTTGCGACGTGTGGAATCCCAATTCTTTCCTACTTATTGGCCCATTTTGTTATCGGTTTTAGTTGTAACCGAATTTAAATAATTTAGAGATAATTACTACTCTAATTTTTTTACGTTTATTTGCCTATTTCTTTAAAAAACTTTTTTTTAAATTCTTTTTAAAACTTAAACACAAACATTCTACATTAGTTTAATACGATATTGAAAATATGATCAGATTGCCCGAAAATATCGCTCATACAATATTTTAAACTCCATTATTAAATTCTCTATTTAGGAATTTATGATTTACAAAATATGAGGTTTTGATCTAGCTTAAAATTTTGGTGCCAAGCAAAACCTTCTATAAATTAACTTATATTTTCTATGGTTATTGTAAAATAAAAGGTTAGATCTTCCATGTTTAATTTCTTATTTAAATATTGTCTCAAATAATTTCGTTTTTTTTTTTGTTTATATGTTAGCTCAAAAATTGTGATCAGATTTACGTCGGAACTTGTCTTCACTTATATCACAAACTTTGAAAGCAAAAGATTTCAATCAGTGCATATTTTAGGTGGTAGAGCCTAGCTGTTGTCATTTACTACAGCTCGAACATGGGCTGGCTCGACCGGGGAAGTACCACCCTCTCACAGAAGATCGGCGTGAAGTAGCCTTTAATGACTGCGTTTGGTCAGATGAGTGAGGGAGCCGATTGCCCCCTTTTCCATAAAAAAAAATATTACTGGTAAAAAGCAAGTATACTTTAATATAATAAAATATTGTTATTGACTTAACAATGATTTGATATGATGGGAAAATACAATGATTAAATTTAGATAGCAATGAACTATAACCGCGTTAAAAATTCATCACGTAAGTTAAAAAATCTAATGTTAATTATTATCAGTATTGTCTTGAATTCGGTTAGACGAATATGTGCTCGTTATTTTTGCTTAAGTTACTACTTCTATTCAGTTTGATAGACATATTTTCTCCTCCTTTTTGCAGTGCTTTTTTCGATGAACACATTAAAAAGGTACGCGGCCTAAGTTTGCATTTGTTTAACTATACGGAGCAGCAAAATGAATATGCGGCGCTGGCACCTTATACTTTGTGGAATCTCCTTTCCCTTGTTGCTATGGAGACATCTGGAAAAAGTTCTCAGCAGCTGAAGAAAACAATGTGTTTATCAGAGAAGAGCGAAAGAGATGTTTTGGATTGTTTATTAGTTTACGACTTGGTATGCAATTTAATGCACGTAAATAATACGGGAGTATATTTTAGAACCAAAAGCGTTATTTTCTATGATTCTAGACTGCAGTTGACGAATGATTTTACAAATTTCCAAGACCTTCATGAAGTTTCACTAGAAATGCTCAATTTCGATGATAATGTTTTGGCGTCGCATTCAGCAAATAACTACAAACAATCTGATTCATTTCTTATACCGAAGCCATTTATTTTTGATTCAAGTGATTTTAAGGAGACTTCAATGATCGTGAGTACTCTGGTAGAATTCAAGGCCGAGTGGGCCAAACCTTTTGATTCCTCTCTTAGCGATCAATATATGTTACGTCAAAGAGGTACATTTTTTTTTACTGATATAAAGCGGTTGAATGCTTCTGTACTAGAATTATCGTATGTGGGTGATTTCAAAATGCTCATAATACAACCCCACGAGGGCGTAACTCTCAAACATGTGACAACACAGCTGGCTCTTAATGATTTGGAAGAAATATATAATGAATTACATTCAGACGGCTTGAAGGAAATTGATGTCGGATTGAAGAAGTTTTCCTTAACATCATCGCTGATATTTAACAAAGCGTTCAAGTCAATGGGAGTGATAGATGTTTTTTCACCAGATGATGCGGATCTATCATTAGATAACGATTTATATATTATGAATTTTGAACAAAGAGTGACGGTGACGGTTTCAGAAACAGGGACGACAGCCACTGCGTACACTCCAGCAAATGTTGCCAAATTCACAGGCCAAAATAATATAACATTTTCAAAGTCATTTATATTTCTAATCGTGCATGGACCATCGTTAACCATTTTGTTTTGTGGAAAATACGGTGAATGATTTTTATATGCCTTCTTTATTATAAATATTACTAGTAAACCCGGCGAGCTCCGTTCCGCCACCAGAAGGCTTCGATTTATGTAACATTTCGTTTGGTGATTAAAAGATGAAGAAATTCTTTTTAGGAAAAATTTTATTCATTTTCACAATAGTTAATGAATTCATTTCGATTACAAAAATGAAGTGTTATTTAGTTGAACTTCTCTAAGTAAATGAAAGTGAATCCAAAGTAAATACTGAATCGAAGCGTTATACGTGTGCGCAAATTATACGTTTCATTGAAGTGCTCTTTGGTAAAAAACTGATGGTTTCCAAACTCGTGAACACGCAAAGTATAACTGCCCATGTGAAAAAACAATGATTTTCTAAATTTATCCCGCAAATACTGAATGGTTTTAAGAGTTCAAACTCCAAACACAAAACCGATTTGTCACATGAAATTAACTGAGCAGAGAACAATGAGTAGCTGTCAACCAATGTATCATACATCGGCGAAATCTACTTAAAATATTGATTTGTAGTACATGTTATTCCCGTTTTTCTGTTAAAATTTTTCCTGATTTTCCGTAGAAATCGGTTCCTGTGTTCTGGAGTTATAGCGTCAGGAAGGAAAACCGGACTTATTTTTATGTAGTAGATTATATGTATTTGTGGTATCAATGTCCTTTCTACTATCTAATGTGTTAGAATGTTAACGTATATTTGACACGACATATATTTAAAGATTCAAATTTTAATATATTGTTTAAAATACACCAGTGTTTTGTTTTCCCTATCATACTTTGTAAATAATATTTCTCAATAAGTATTTAGTGCCTATGTATATTACGCATTCAAATATTTATAAGATATAATAAAATATATGTCCATATGTATACAGTTCCTATTACAAATAAATAATTAATAATTTCTTGCTAAGATTAAGATTTTTTTAGTTTTCTTCAATATATTTTAATAGCAACCAAAATACCTAAATCCTACTAGTTACTAGGATTTTCTTTTAATAGCTAAGAGTCGCAACTCCATTAACAAAGTTTATTATAAAATAAAACAAATAAACGCATTAATTAATAAGAGAATATTATAAAACTCGTCATTCATCTAAATTTTTTATCAATTTATACAAAAGGAAAACAACGTAATGTATTTTCATTTTCGAAAAATATTATTACTTTCAAAATCAATTAAAACAGTACGACTACTTGGTAAATCATTTGTTTATTTCCAGTTTTCCCACAGTAATTAATAATCACATTCAAAAAATATGCTCTTTAAATAATATCTCCTCCCCCTTCCTCACCACACCTTAGTCAATACAACTCCTCTTTATTTTTGTTACAATGTACAATTATTTTGGCACGATGCTAGCAACTAATATCTGTATCATTAGTATAAAAGATATAAAAGATTATGCTTCCTTTAAAAACTATCACACTATTAAGTTATATGTATGTAAGTATATACATTTTTAAGTTGATTTATGTGTTTCAAAAACTCAATGTTTTGCACCGATTCAGCTAAAATTTTGACACGATATACAACACTTCTTCTTCTACTTGGCAATTTCCCAACTTTAGACAGGGTCTGCCTAAAGCTGGGATTAAGCTTTAAAGCTAAACACGATATATAACACAATTTTTTATAATAACATACTCTTAAGTGCGCCATTCACTAGCCAAAACTCTGGCACACGACTGGAAGTTAAAAAGAATTATGAACAGCATAGCTGAAGCAACGATTTTAAAGGGGCCTTTCAAAGGTGAAGATGTCCTCATTCTTCGAACTCTCACGATTCCGACCGATACATGATTTCAATATCAAAAATATCAAAGCAATCCTTAGGCGAATGATATAGATTTGAATTTGGACTATTTTTCACGCGGAAAACTGTATGTTCCGTATTCCCGTGATAGAAAATCACATATAAAGGGAAAACAAAAAATATCGTATACCAACAAGTATTGAAAAACTAATCTTCAATATAATATACGCTGTCTTCTGTTGTACATATGGAAGACTAACTAAGATTGACTATACAGAATACTGCAATTTGTATTTAATACTAGTTTTTGCCCGCGACTTCGTCCGCGTTAATTTCGTCATTATTAATATATGTATAGCTGACTGGGCGAACTCTATTCCGTCTTAACCCTTAAATGCGCGAATTTTGTAATCGTTTATAAATATATTATTCTAATCATATTAGGATCTATAGAGCAAAGGAAAAATGGTTAAAAATATATAGTATTGATATAAAGCTACTAAAAATACAAAAAAGTGTATGTTGCATATGTGCAACAGTGCGCAGTCATCGAATTATACTATGTATGGAAAGAATGAGGTCATCAATAACAAACTCAAAATAGATACAAATTCAAAGTTCTTTTTTAATCACGGTGAAATTTATAAAAACAATTATTGTCTGTTGTAACATAAGCTTACTCTACATTTTTCACAATAACTGAATGTATATCCCTTACAATTGGGGTATTTACATCTGGCCCGATCCCCCAATTTTTGTCAGTGATATATTGTGTCTTGTCGGATATCTTTCGGAGGCATAGTTTGAGCTGGGCCACACTTCTTTTTTAGTTGAAATTCAGCTTCTAAAGATGAACTGCTTGGGCGACCCCTTTTGGTACCATTTCCTTTTTGGCCAAGATTGCACAAGGTATGGGCCAGCTCAAATCTGTAATTGCACAGATTCAATGGTTTTATGGAAGATTTGTTCAGTTTCAGAGATTTCTTGTACAATAGCCACGAATTTGCGACTGTAACGTCCGGAAGATGGAAAAACAAGCGATTTGTCCACGTTCTGCTTTGCGAGTAACATGGTACCTTCCGATAAAACTATCAAGGAGATCCACTTCTCCCATGTGGGTATTGTAGTCCTTTCTCACATTGGGGCAATATATTGGAATCCGCTGTTTCGTCGTTTTATCATACCTCATAATTGTAGTCACAGGCAAGGCTCCAGTGTAGGTTGACATCAAAGTCACAGGCTTGTTGTCTTTCCATAAAACAGCGCTAATGTCGATACCATCTACATTGGCAACCTGTTCCTCATAGTATCCTCTTGGTACTGTTCGTTTCATCAGAGTTTTCTTATCCGGAAGCTTGTTATTAGGTATGCGATTCACCTGTACACTTCCTAAGCAATATATTCCTTCTTTTGCAAAGTAAGTGAGCAATGGCACCGATGTGTAATAGTTGTCGAAATAAATAATGTGGTTGACACGTCTTGGAACAATCCGAGTTAGACGCACAACGGTATTACCAGTTGGTCCCAAATCTTCATCACAATATTCTAAATCCGCTAATAACTGGCGATTATTCTCATAGTAAACTTCTTCATCTTGCTCTTCTTCTTCTGATAATTCCAAGTCATCCTCGGACAGATCCAGAGTTTGCAGATATTCTTCGATGTCTCAGTTATTCAGCAATCTCGGCATGCTGTAAAAAGGCAAACAAAATTAGGTAAATTTTTCTAAATACATCACTACTGATCAAGTAAAAATTCAAATTTGTTTGAACGTAAATGCGCAATGTTGCACATACGACACAAACAGTTTGTTTGAAAAAAAACTTATCAAACTTTTGAATATATGGAAAATTATTATTTTCTGGTCTTCTCGATTAGTTACATTAGTGAAATATAAAAAAACAAAAGACACTTACCTTCGAAATTCGCATAAAAAACGACATAACACTACACACAAATTACTTTTTACAAATTCGCGCGCCCGCGATTTTTAAATTAAAAAATTATGAAGTTTAAATTTTTGAAAATGAACCGTCACGTTAAATGTCAAAACGTTCATAACTTTTTCTATAATCTATGGCAGATTACGTTCAGAAACGTGTACATTAACTTGTCAAATTATTTTAATTTTCGGTTCGTTGCAGATATGCAACAAGGCGAATTTAAGGGTTAAACAACCAGGTATTGGTATTTATTAAATTTTTCCTGTTTCAATCTAACAGAATGATTGACATATTAGTTAGTTGTCAAATGTAATGTCAAAAAACGTTTGTAGTGGAAATAGAAAAGGGCTGCTTTTAGGGTTTTCCCGAAAATTTATAATTTTTTTTCAACTTTTAAACCTTCCCTGAACCTACACGAACATTTCAAGACTACGATTTAGCCGTTCTCGAGTTTTAGTGAGACTAACGAACAGCAATTTTATATTTAAACTTCATAGTCATTTATCTTTTTTTTAAAACGATAATTTAAATTTTACTTTTAATCCACGACTATTTACAAGATAGGGTACTTTTTTCATAATGGCTTTTGTAGGTAACATGTTATTTTCATGTAGTCGATGTAAAGTTTCGATTTTAAAGTTCAGTTTTGTGTGTGGGATTTAGTGTAAGCAGTAGGTTTTACGTAAAATCTGGAACAGTACGCTGTAAGTGATTATGATACGTATATACACATATACTTTTTTTGTTACTTGTTTTGTTTTACTGCGTTTTAAGTTCGGGACTATATATAGCCAGAAGTAATTCAGACATTAAAACCCTTTTTATATCAACAAATGAATTTTGTTCTTCCCATTTCAATAATAATTGGTCTTTTCATAGTAAAATCAATAACGGCCGTATTTTATTCACGAAGGATTTTTTAATAAATTTAGATAAATTTATTAAATCTTTCTTTTAAAATTCTATAGTATTTATTGAAGTTAAATAGTTTTTCATATCGAGGAATTAATAAAAATACAGAGAGAGTGAACAAAATAACAGAGCTTTTATTTAAAAATGGCCTCTTTAGAAATCACTTTTCGTTGAATTACTTAAAAAATATATAGCCCGCACTAGAAATCCCATTACGCTAGTTAAGATTAGCTAACCATTCGGCAGCCGTCAAGATGTGGCCTGTATCAGATACATCTAGACATATTACACACATTCAGGTAAGATCAAATGAATTTCTGAGATTTTATAAATATGAACAAGTAAGGAAAATTCTAGAAATGACGCTGGTACATTTTAAAATA